CAGCAATAGGCCCAGCTCCTAGATGGGGAGGGGGAACAGCACACAGGGCTCCGTGCACTGCCCCCGCCCCGAGCACTAGCTCCTCGCTCCCATTGGCTGAGAACCTGCTGCCGGCTGCTTCTGGGGCGCAGCCTGGTCTGCAGGGCCAGGAGAGGCAGGAAGCTGCCTTAGCCCCCCTGCTGTACCGCTGACTGGGAGCCGCTGGAGATAAGCCCCTCCTGCCCCAGCCCTCGCCCCCCCCAAAGCGGGAGCCCCGTATCCCCAAAGCTCCATCCTCAGCCCCTCCCCGGAGCCCACGCGCCAGTCACACGATGTCGGGTCGTGGCATCAACGATTTCCTTCAACCGGGTCGTGAGGAACAAAGTGTGAAAAGCGCTGGGCTGGCCCAGAGCGGCCCATCCGTGCCGGCGCGGCTGAAAGCCACCAACCTGCGTGATGCATTCCAGGCTCAGAAGCCACTTGAGATAAGCCCCTCCTGCCCCAGCCCTCGCCCCCCCCAAAGCGGGAGCCCCGTATCCCCAAAGCTCCATCCTCAGCCCCTCCCCGGAGCCCACGCGCCAGTCACACGATGTCGGGTCGTGGCATCAACGATTTCCTTCAACCGGGTCGTGAGGAACAAAGTGTGAAAAGCGCTGGGCTGGCCCAGAGCGGCCCATCCGTGCCGGCGCGGCTGAAAGCCACCAACCTGCGTGATGCATTCCAGGCTCAGATGTAGACGCTTTCCCACCCACCCCTTTCGGCACAAACACCATCCAATGAGGCCAACAGATTGGCCGGGCCCGTGGGCAAGGGGATGGCTCAGGGCCCTAGGGTTAGGGTCCATCCCCCCTCGCCCCCCGCTTAGCCTGTTCTCTCCATGCTTCCCAGACAGCAACTGCCTCCCCCCCCCGGCCCTACCCCCCAGCCCAGTGCTGGTCTCCCCCCTCCCCCCTTTGTCTCTCCTCCTCCCAGGCTGGGCCCAGGTGTCCCTTTGTCTCTCTCCCTGGGAGGCTGGGCCCAGGTGTCTGGTTAATCCACGTTTGGATGAGTCAATGGGAATCACATTACAGCACGGAGGGGGGGGGAGGGGGAGACACCGGGTCACAGAGCAGACAGCCCCCCACTACTCCACATGGTGCTTCACACCCTGGAAGGGGCGGGGCCTCCAGTGGAAGGGGCGGAGCTGGGGCTACCCTCCGCGCCGCCCAGAGCGTGCCGCATGGGGCTCCTGTGGTTTTAAAGGGCCCAGGGGTCTGGATGCTGCAGCAGTAGCAGCAGTAGTGGCTGGGAAGTCCAGGCCCTTTTGAATTGCCGGGCCTGGGGTAGTTGGCTCCCCCCATCGGTGGGCCTGCCCATCCCAAGTACATTGTGCGCACACAAGCCAGTAGGGGGTCTAAACACACACACTGAAGGGGTCTGTGACGAGGGGGCTGGCTGCGGTATGAAGCCGGTCCACACACTCGCTGGCTTGCCCTAGACGTCGCACTTCAGCCCCACACGTGCAGTCGCTCAGACCCATATGTGGCGTGGCTCTCCTACAAGCCCCCTCGGCGCTGAGGGGGGCACGTGGATGGACGAGGGGGACGCGCTCTTGGCATTCCCTGGAAGAGACGTGTCACTGCAAGCTGGAAACTTGCTCCCCGGGATAGACCCTTTGCGTGTGGTGAGCCAGGCTGTGCCTGGGACACTGACCCGCCTGGCCCTGGGAGAACGGAACGGAGGCTCTGGCAGGGTGTCACTCAATGGAGGGCCTTGAATGGCAAACCATGCCCGGACTGTAAGCAGGAGCCCGGTTCTTTGGGGGGCCCTGATCCCTGAGTGAGGTTGCTAGGGGCTGCCCTAATGGACTGCCCATACCCTCCTCCACCGAGGCAACGGGAAGGAGCAGGGTTGGGGAGGCGGAGAACCCAGCGAGTTCACTCCGTCTTTTCTAGGTTATTTTGCTCGGGGACCATAAGCAGCTGCGGCCCGTGGTGCAGAACGATTTCTGCAAGAACCTTGGCATGGAGACGTCCCTCTTTGAGCGGTATCGGGACCAGGCCCTCATGCTGGACACGCAGTACCGCATGGTAGGAGTCTCCGGGCGGTCTTCCCCCTCCCCTCTTCCCTCCCACCATGGGATGTGCCGCTGGCGTGCCCAGCCCGTCAGGACGCGGCTATTCTGCCGTGACTGCTCTGCCCAGGATAGGAAATGATGATCCTCTGCTAAGCCGGAGAGTATTGATCTTCAGGGGAGCCCTCCTAGGTGTTTCTTTTGTCAGGGCACGGCACCTGCCGCTGCAGGGGAGCTTCCTGCACGTGGTTTTCTCAGCTTCCCCAGTAAGTTGGCCGAAATGCCAGCTGATAATGGGGAGGTGCAGAACCATGGGGCTTGCTGATGAGTTTCGCTTAACCCTTTAGTCGACCTGACTGGCATAGAATCCTAGAACTGGAAGGGACCTCGAGAGTCCAGTCCGCTGCCCACCTGGCAGGACCAAGCACCGTCTAGAAATCAGTGGTCCCCAACGTGGTGCCCTTGGGCACCATGGCGCCCGCTGGGGCATTTCTGTGCACCCGCCGAATGATCAGGGCCGGCCCAAGCCGTTCTTGCGCCCCAGGCGCGTGGAGCATGCGTGGCCCCGCCCCCAGGTGCCCGGCAGCCCCAAAAGGTTGAGGACCACTGGTCTAGATCATCCCTGATACTGTGGATTTCCATTGGCATATTGTTAGCCAGTGTAAATCCACATTCCTGTCGCTGATACCTCCTGCATCTCCCTATTTGTTCCCTACGCCCATGGGTTGGCGTGTCATTTGTAATCCCATAGGGCACAACGGTCCCTGCCCCACTGTGCCTTGCACAGCAAGAGCCCCAATTCTGACTTGGGCCTTCGGGTGCTGTCCTGATGCAAATCATTCACGGATCACAATGCCGGAATGGACCATTGTGCTCACCTGATCCGGCCTCCCTTGTGACGTGGGCTATGGGACGACGGCCCTGGATGAATTAATTAGCAGTCGCCGCCTTGAGTAGTGGGTTCAGGAATCGCTGCCTTCTCGAAGGCACGAGTGCTGATCTAGGTGACCCAGGCCAGCTGTGGGAGCCGGCGCTGCCTTCCCGGGGCTTTTCTGTAAAACATTGGCTGCGCTGTAAACAGCAGAGGGGCAAAATTTGGGGTGGCCTCTGATTTTGGAATTGGGATTGATATAGGAACACACAAGTCAAGGGCTGGGTAGTAGGGATGTCAGTGGCTAACCAGTAAGGATCACCCTAACTGGGTGATTGTTACTGGCTGGCCTGGCCGGGGTTGTTCCCTGCCCGTGGGGTGGTAACCCCAGCCCAGCTGGAGCAGCCTGCAGAATGACGGGCCTGTTGCATCATGGGCATGGAGCGCTCCAGCCTGGCCTGTGGGCCCTGCTGGCTTCCATTAAATGGTTAACCCATTAAACTTAACGTTTAAACTGATGAAATGGGATTTTTCATCTCTCCTGGGAAACGAGCTGTTGTGACTAGCATTTGAACCTGGGAACCTCTGAAGTGGAATATAGGTGCCTCTACCCTCTGAGCTAGAAGCCAGCTGGTTCCCAGCCTGCGCCGTAGAGGTCTCTTGATGTTAGCTGTTGCTGTGGTCTAGGTACATTGCATTGCTCAGTAACCACACTACGGTTATGTCTACACTGGCAGGTTGTTGCGCCAGAAGTATGCAAATGAGGCTAAGCATGGAATATTGCCAAGCCTCATTTGCATACCTAATGA